TGAATTTTGTTGAAAATTTGATGGGAAACAGCAGTTTCAATTCTAATAAGGTGTCAGATTAGGTTTAAGGTAACGATTTCACGACAGCAAGCGTTCGTCTGGGAATTTGGTGACAAAGTGGTTGTGAGTTCAAGCACTGGTTAGGGCAACGTGTACTTGCAATCAGTGAAAACGGACAAAGAAATTGCTCAGCAGTATTAAATAAAAATAAGAACTAGACGGTATTCCCAGATATGAGCTGTGGAACGAGAACATTCTACACTTTAGATTAAATAAATGATTCTATTCAGAATTTCCTGTATCCAGATCGACATACACCTGAAAACGGTCTTACAGTACAACTGTCAAAAGCGTGTGGGAGCAAGAAAGATGTGTACAATAGTTCGTATGTAAATAGTTTAATTAAATAATTAATAATAATTTAATGACATAGTCGCGTAAAGATATATTTCCCATTTCGAATTATTCAAAGTCCACTTTGTTAATTGCATTTCAATCTCTTTGAGATTTTAAAATAAAACATTGTATACCCTTCTCAGCTTGAAAAAAATACAAGTGAGCCGTTTATATTTTACATGAGGCCACAATGCTTCTCGAACTGATGCCACCATTAACAGTGTATGGGGTGAAGGATCCTGTAATGAAATTACAATATGACGCTGCTTTCTTAAATACCGCTGAAGGTGATACGAATCTTGAAATTTCAAGGTGGTAGGGGACGTCGGTCTGCAATTCTCAGACAACAACCGAAAACAATCGCTGAACAAAACCCAAGTTAAAGTATCAGAGAAATGTCTCAGATAATGGATGTCTGCAGTTCCACTATATCGGAACATTTCAAGAACTGTATTGGGATGAATAAAATTAACAAATACATTCCCCATGAACTCCGTGAAAGTCAAAGGGTTCAAGGCTGCATCTCTGTAATTTGAATGATCCATTTCTTGATCGAATAAAGATTTGTAACGAGAAATGCATCCATTATCACAATCGTAAACGATGGGCTCAATAGTCTGCCCATGACAAAACACCGAAACAAATTCCCAAAACAAAATTGCACTAACAGCAGATTATGGTATATGTCTGGTGGTCCGACATTGGTGTTAAGCGTTGTAGTCTCCTGGAATATAACCGGGGCATCGATGTCGAAGTTTACAGCCAGCAGCTGGATGAAATGAAAATTCAGTTAAGCAAAGTGTGACCAGCACTGGTTAATTGGCGAAGTCCAATTCTGCTTTATGACAATGGTGGGCCACCTGTTGTGAGGAGGGCGGCACTGCAGAAGCTCACCGACATGGGATACGAGACTTTGCCGCATCAACGTTGCATTCAATGATTTCATGGCGTCCAAACCATTACTTCTATCTTAGAGGCATAATTAACATTAAAAAGTTCTCATCATTTTACACTTGAAAGATGTTATCATAAGTTCTATGCTAAGGTTTTCTTCTCGATTTTTGAAGTATCTTCCCGTTTCTTGCTTCCCACTCAACTCTCCTCTTTAACGATTTAAATGCTATGTCAGTCGTTACCTTGTCTTAATTCATTTATTTTATTTTCCTCTCTTCTTAATAGAGGTTGTACTGCAAAAAAAAAAGGACATTTTAGATTTACTATATTGTGGCGGTCTTCACCACATTTATTTAACTTAGATTAGGAAACCAAACTGAGGTGAAGAAAAAGAGGATAAGCCAAAGCCATCATTACACATACAATTTGTATTTAACAAGATGTACAAACAAGGATGTGAAAGAAAAGCATGCATTGAGTAAAACAAGAGTTGTCTCTCTTTAACTATCAATTGTTTCAAAGATCACTGAAAGAAATTAGGTTGTAATAGTTTCTGGCAATAAATGTTTTCAACAGTTTTTCTGTGTAAGAAAAAATATTACGTGAGTATAGGGAATATTCAGCATGTGAGTGATGGTGTGAGTGAGAAGGTTGGCGCATCGTTTCAACTGCCGTGGATTCCTGTGGCAGCTGAAATCTCACTCATTTACTAAGAATATTCTTTCCTTATATAAGTGATCATCGGGTCTGAAAGCGCTGCGCAGGAAGAATCAATCTTCACGTGCAGACAATCTGATTGGTTGGCATTGACCAATCAGCGAGCGAGCTTTGGGTAGATTAACGAAAAACTTCTGGGATCCGATTCTCCCAAAAGTGCACAAAATCGACTTCATGAAAATATAGCGATTATAAAATTATAGGTTAGCTGCGATTTGTAAATTGTCCATTACACAGTAGTGTTGATTTATTATCCAATGAATGCTTGTATAATTTGAATTTGTATAAGTATGTATGTATATGTGTGATGATGATGATCATCACAATATGATGAAAAAATTAATTAATATAACATTGTCAGACATTATTTACATTATTCAGACTATTGTCCTCATCTTTGTCGCCATATTTATTACATCGTTTCGGCCGTTGTGCGCTCCGGCCTATCTCATGTGGTTGGAATTTCGAACAGAACTATTTATTTCGCTCACTGGGGTAGACTGTTCTAGTTTCACGTGCCATGTTTAATGAATGTCAATTATCAGTTATCTCCTGTTAATTGCCCTCACTGACTTAACCGGGTATTGAACTCACACACTTTGGGTCCTGTCACTGGATCTAACCAACGCCTTTATCCACTGTGCCATGTGTCTCAGAAATATCGACAAACATTGTAAGAGTCCTCTAGTTTGAACGCCACACATGTTTTGTTCTGTTTTAAGCTACTAAATTTATATCCTTTGCTTTTGTTTCAAATAACTATAACAAACATTCGTACTATAACCTGTACCAAATTTCCTGTTTTTTTTTTTTTTTTTGGCAGTGTGTGTGTGGGGGGGGAGAAGCCTGGGGGTACTTTTTCTCATATTCTCTAATACTCAGTTACCCCTTGCGACCTACTGGATTTCTTGTCTTGCTTTGGGTGAAATAATTAAAGTGAAACTCAATGCCAGAAATATATAGATATATCCAGAGACCCTATTTAAACTCCTAAATACATTGAATCAGGAATAGAAATGGATCTTAAAATCGGACATTATTTTACGAATAACCTAATACAATGTTTCTATTTTCTCATTGCCTTTATGTCTTTTATTTCATTTTATTTTGTTTTTGTTCTTTTTACCAGGTTGATCTTTCTAGTGTGCTTCTTGGATATTTCTCAATTTATTTCTGTGTTTAATCTAAAATCGACAAGAAATTCAACAGACATCTCTTTCTTTTTCTTCCATGTTTTTTCTCTATTGTTGTTTAGATCGGCTAGTGTTTTAACTTTCTTTATTTAATATCTTTTGTTCTGTCTTTCTTTTTCTTTCTTTTTTTTCTTTCATTTTTGTTCTCTTTAATTTCGTTTATTTCTTTTCTTTTTTGTTTCTTCCTTTTTTGTTTCTTTCTTTTTTCTTTCTTTACCTTTATTACTTTATTTATTTATTTAATTTCTTTCTTAATTTATTTTGTGCTCTCTTTCTTTTTCCTTTTAATTTTCTTTGATTTCTTTCTTTTTAATTTTAAATTATTTCTTCAGATTCGTTCATTCTTTCTTTTCCTCTTTCCCTTCTTTTTCTTCTTTTAAATTCGTTCATTCTGCTCTTTCTTTCTTTCTTTCTTTCTTTCTTTCTATAACTTCCGTCTTTCTGTTTTTTTCAGTAATTTCTTTCTTTCTTTGTTTCTTTCTTTATTTTTCTTTCTTTCTTTCTATCTTTCTTTCATTCTTTCTTACTTTAATTTCGTTCTTTCTGTTCCTTCTTTTCTTTCATTCTTTCATCTTTTTTTTTCTCTTTTCTTTCTTTCTTCCTATAATTTTTTCTGTCTAATTTTTCTTTTTTCTTTCGGTAATTTCTTTCTTTCTTTCTTTTTTTCTTTCTTTCTTTCTTTGTTACTTTCTTGGTTTGTTTGTTTCTTTCTTTCTTTCTTTCTTTAATTTCGTTCTTTCTTTTTTCTTTTCTTTCTTTCTTTTTTCTTTCTATAATTTCCTTCTTTCTCTTTTTCCTCTAAGTAATTTCTTTCTTTCTTTCTTTATTTCTTTATTTCTTCCTCTTTTCTTTCTTTCTTTAATTTCGCTCTTTCTGTTCCATTACGCAGTAGTGTTTCTTTCTTTCGACCTTTCTTTCTGTTTTCTTTCTTTCTTCCTATAATTTCTTTCTCTCTAATTTTTCTTTTTTTCTTTCGGTAATTTCTTTCTTTCTTTGTTCCTTTCTTGGTTTCTTTGTTTCTTTCTTTCTTCGTTTATTTTTTTCATTCTTTTTTTCTTTTTTTTCTTTCAGTAATTTCTTTCTTTCTTTCTTTCTTTCTTTCTTTCTCTCATTCTTTCTTTATTTCTTTTTCTTTCTTTCTTTCTTTCTTTCTTTCTTTCTTTAATTTGCCATTTCTTTTCTTTTATCTTTCTTCTTCTTTTCTCCCTTACTTCAATTTCTTTATTTATTTAATTTCTTTTCTTTCTTTCTTTCTTTCTTTCTTTAATTTCGTTTTTTTCTTCCTTCCAATCTTTCTATGATATGCTTCTTTAACGTACATTTCTCTTTACCGATTCAAATTTACTCTTTTCTTTGCAAATATTGATTTCATATTTCCCTTTCGAAATATTCGCTATTTTCCCAACCAAACCACAACAGTATTATTGTTTCAAAAATCCATTCTTATGTAACAAGTAACTGAAATAGGATCTTTTCCTTACTGCTTATCATTTTCAAACTTGAAATAACCAAACACAGCGGACATAAAAAAAAGTTGTCAACAAAATTCTTAGCTATCATTTCAAGTTCCAAAAAATTATTTACTAAACATATTTTAGAAGCTCTCGGTAACGTAAACAGAACATTGGCAAATAAGAACGCTTGATTAGAAACTAAGACACAGAAAGTGTGACATCGAGATCCGAAGGCACATTACACCAGCGAATGGTGACTTCCAAACGATACGAATCCTATTCAGAAACAGAAGAATTACGTCCAAAAGAAATAAGAATGCTCCTACAATGATTTACGGCTAGATAACGTTGAGACACGGGTTCCCGTACAATCACCGAAGTTAAGCAAGTTCTAACCTGGTCAGTATCTAGATGGGTGACCGCTTAAGAATACCAGGTGTTGCAAGCTTTGATATGCGTGTGATGTGATGGATAATGGCACGGAATGTTAATCGGAGAGCCGAGATACAATTCCAGTTGTGTTCGTAAATACCAATCAAAAAGTTCAGAATACACGTTTATCCCTAGCTATGGGTTAATTAGTAAGACTTATTATATCTCTAAATAATTATTATCTAAAAATAAGTTATTACAATAAAAAAATGTCTGGCTTTAAAAAAAAAGAAAGTATAATACGCTGATAAGCCGTAGAAAACAATTAAATTTACCACTGTATAATAATCCTATATGTCAGGGGAAGGTAGAAATCAGAGAGGCGTCTTGAGTCAACAGAATTGTAGTTCTACAGAAGGATGTTGAGAATGTTATACGTGGAACCTGCAAACTAGCATGTTAATCTAAGCAGCAAGTTGAGATTTGTTTACGTCAGAATTAAGCAAATACTCACACACACAGACACACACACGAGGTCTGTTTTAAAAGTAAGGTGACTGGTGTCACACAATTTATTTCAACTCCAAGCAACAAACTACACGGTTTCCCCATCAAAGGAAAACCCATCGAGTCGAATGCACTTTCCCAACCGTCTCTGTCAGGCTTCTATGCACTCGTGGAAGAATTATCCTTGCATGACTCTCAGCTCTGTTGTTACGGCCATCCATACCTTCAAAATTGTTTCCCTTGATGATCTGCTTGAATAAAAATTCACATGCAGCAAGATCAGGTGAATAGGGAGGTTGTTTCGTTACGGCAATGTTCTAGTAAAAGCCGGATGCTGAGGGCATTGTCAGCAGGTCCATTGTCGGGCTAAGGCAGCCACGATTTTTCTTGCCATACCTGTTGCATGTGAAAAATAAGAGTTATATACTCCCAAGATATCATATTGACAGATAATACAACCAGCTTATGTATCTTTCACCCAGATCTCCCACAGAACACGCAGTTCCATTATAGGCCGCGTATATCCCATACTCAGAAATATCACTGAAAACTACCCGGACCTTTCAGGACTTGAGCGATTAAGGCTCTCCATAATTTCCCGATATTTGATATTCTAAGTGATTTAAGTCATCAGTGTTCTTACATAATTTTTCTTACAGTGTTTCTATGGTATTTAATAAGTCCATTGTATTGGATTCTCTATGTCAACTTTTCTAATTATGCTTTCAAAATATTTTAACTGTTTTTTTTTATATTAACAGAAATTTCCTTGTAAAATTATTATATACTATTTTGAATATCTATCAATTTTATACTTTTATCGTAGTTCACGTGGTAACATTATATATAGAGAGCGTTCATGCGCCTTGTATTTAAATGAGTCACTCAAAGACACAATGAATTTTCTGCGTATAAGATCTTTCCACTAACCAGTAAAGTCGTTGTAACGTGAGTGAGGGAAAGAAATATTTATTTTCGCAATTACATTTCTCTCCTCATGGACATTTTCATACCCGTGATATAAAAACACCGGGCAGGACGGAATAGGTGAATCGAAAAAGAATAATAAACATGCTTGGCTCTCTAGGAGAATTATAATGATACGTCGTACACAAAATTAGATATATACACCTATACTCGTGTCCCACACAGAGAATTTACAACATATGCAACAACAAAAGATGTGTAAGAAAGTGTAACCTTACTTAAAATATTTCCCAACGTAAAAAAAAAAAATGGAGTTATGGCAGTTTCTCTACGACCCAGGTTAGATCATGTGTAAGGACTACTGCTGTAGGCAAACCATGTCCTCCTTCTCTAGGCTCTACATCACAACTGCCTTCGTCAGTCTATCTCATGATGTCATTCACCGGCCATCACGTGATACTCAGCAAAAGAGAGAGAATCGCCATTTGTAATCCATCAGTCTTTTCACAGTGACGCCACACAGAACAGTCAATTTTCTTACTTTACAGATTCACCTCGTATATCCTACAGTCAGGAAAATTACTGCTAACTACCCGTCGTTTCAGGACTTGAGTGATCAAGGCTCTCCATGATGTCCTGATGTTTGATAATCTAAGTGCTTTAAGTCATCATTGTTCTTTCATCAATTTTTCACACTGCTTCTATTTCATTTAACAAGTCCTGTGTACTGAATTCTCTAAGTCACCTTTACTCATTACGCCTTCAAGATATTTTAGCTGTTTTTGCATTCATTATGATCATTATAATTTTAAATACTATTAGAGGTTGAAGTCAATTATGTACCATACGTGATAAACACTTAGGCGATAATGTATATTTCGATACATGACTGACGAGGCAATAGGTTGCCTCGTCAATTATGTAGGCAGTCATGACTGACAAGGCAGTCATGTAGATAGTCATGACTTACGAGACAGTAGGTTGCCATTTCTTTCTGAGGTAGACCAGGCTTTTAGCACCTAAGTGAATGTAATGTATTCGACAGGAATTCGAACTTGGCTCTCCGATTCCACAATCCGAGCCGCTAGTTTTATTTATAATAACCAAGGAATACTCAAAAATATCTTAGCCTATTTATCACGGTTTCTCGGGAGACACCTAATTTCTTCTTGAGGAACACTGAGAAACACTAGTTAGATATTACTGGAAGAGATGGATGCCATGCGTGACATCCGTATGAATGTCTCGCTCTGACGAATCTATTTAAGAACATGATTCGAGTTTTTATTTGTTTAGCATGTTGGGTTTTTGGGCAAATGGCCCCTAGCAAAACCGGACTTACCTTCAATATATTCTATAAGTTACTTTTTTTCTAATACATAAACCGATGTATTTGAAGTATTTAGAGTTGATTAATTACACATAACGGATTTAGTGTATGTGACATCATCAAATAAAACACAAACAGTTTATGTAGGTACCCCTAAAAGACACGCGATACTTAAGATTTGAAATTATTTTTTTTAAATGAAAAATAATCTTGAACCGTTTACTTCAGTTTTAATTTCAATCTAATAGATTAATTTTAATATTTCCGATAAGCAAAATATTTGCTGTATTTGAAAACTAGGAAGAGTTTTTTTAAACAGCTAAAAGTAGCTGATTTTAGACATTTTTAGCCATTCTTCAGCACAAAGTAATACTCTTTAATAAAAATATTTAAAAAATAAAATATACTTTATTGAAAATTTATTTGAGGAATATTAGCTGATTTAATGTTTATTTAATCTGATTTGAAAAACAAAAATTACATTTGTTTAAAATATTGCAGTAATGAATGTCTTTATTTAGAGACAGACAACCGGAAGTTTAACTAAATACTTTCTATAGGGAACGTATATGAAACGATTACTTAAAGAATATAACGTGATCATATTTTTGTATAATTGTTAACTATCCATTAATTTAAAAATATTAAGAAAATATTCTCTGTAATATAAGGTTTAAATGAATTGAATGTGTTTTGGCTTTAAATTTACTATAGCTACCGTTCTTTTTTTCTGATAATATCTTGTATGGAGAACCGTATTTAAAAAAAATATCAAAATTATTTCTAAAATATTGGGGTTGCTGAATTGAAGTAAGCTTTTCCATTTATGATTAGACAATACGCTTTTTACATATTAACAATATTACCTAACCGTTACAAATAAATACATACTTTTAAAAGATTTAAAATTCTAAATAAAATTTAAAAAAAATGAAAACAATTATTGTAAAAATTCATTATTCATCGAAAAATATTTTAAAGACAGTAATGTCCATAACAGATCTAATTCATAAAAGTAATTAAACCATTTGTAATTAAATAATGTCTTTGTTTAACTGCATTTTTATTTTACGATTCAGAGCAGATTTTCGTTAACTGCGGGGTCCATGTTTACAAAAAAAAATGAGGATTTAAATTCTCCAAGGTGTTTTGCGTATAACTAATACGCACATAAAATTTACCAAGATTATCTAAAAGAGGAACATTTGTAAAATAATGTAATTAATTTGTGATTAAGTCTTGAAAGTCTCATTAAAATCTAATAATTATTTGATTTTTGCAAGAATTCCAGAATCAATGTGTTTTTTTTCTCTCCGCAAAAAAAGACCAACATTTCCCATATTAATATCTGACCCCTCGCTGATGCAAGAAAAACAAAATATTTAAGCAAAATTTCGTACGTCTTAAAAAGAATCAAAAAATATAATTTAACAATGAAAAAAAAATCATATGGTCTCTTTTTCTCAATAATAACATAATGTGTTTGACGATAAAATTTGTTTTTATTAAGTTTTGGGATATTTCTTCATCATGTATGTTTCTTTTTTGAGTGAATCTGTGGAGTTACCCAGTCTAACGTATGAAAATTTATGTCTGTCCTACTTTTTCGAATAGTTCTTCTTTTCTTTCACCTTTATTTTCATCTTTGACCTCTCTGAAGGACGAGACAAACTTAACTGCTCTTATAAGACTGGCGAAAAATATGTTCTCTTCCCTACAGGGAGGAAAAATTTCACTGTCCAATATTTGGGCTAATCTGTAACTGGACCTTTCCTAGTCTTGCAGGTAACATACACTATTCGTCTTTTGACATTGAAATGAAACTTCTGCTTCAAACCGCAAGGTAGGCCAAGGAAAAGATAGAAAGAAGTTACCGAATTCCTGGAATCAGGTTTAACGACTTCTTTGTCGTATCGTTTTTTACTCCTTTTTTTTTTTTTTGGTATTGGAAATCAATGTTTTGCCTTAATATTTATACGCGCTGTCTTCTCGAGAGATAAAATAGTCTGCGTCTTCTGACCTCAAGGTTGGGTAGTAAATTACTAAAAAGAAAAAAAAGGAGAAAAAAGTAATAGCTGCTGGTGTATCCCCAAGGTTAAACTGCTTATAGTTTTTGGCTGAGGTGTCATACAAACTTAAAAATTTATTTTTATCAGGACTAAACATTTTTCCCCCCTTTTTGGTCTTTTTCATTCTTCTTATTTTCTTTATCTACCTCAGCGTTTGTTCCATTTCTCTTTTCCTTACTTTATTTAACTTATTCTTTCTTTTTACTATTTTTCTTATTATCCTGGAGTTCGTTTCGTCATG